TATATATATATATATATATATATTGATAAAATTTAATACCATAAGAATTCATTATATTTAAATCATTATATTTAAATTTTCTAGATTTGTCCGAATTATAGCTCGACAAAAGTATGAGCAATGTTTAACTGAAATATACATATGAAATAAAATGATAAAAGAAAGTATATATACAAGTACAATATATGGAAAGTATTTAATTGAAATATCTATATCATGTGACCATGGTGTAAGTTTCACACAACAAAAATTTGATTTGATAAAGTTATTGAATTTTACTTAAATATGCGATTAACTATAAAAATTAGTGTTCTCATTTCATCATACAACATATGTATCAGCAATATGTAGCATATTCCCATGAATTCTGTATCCTGAGTTTCAAAGTAATTTTGAATAGTAAATAACAAGCTTGAATTTGTTTTAAATGCTTTGATACATTAATATTTTTTTGGGACAGAAAATATTAATTTTAAAATTTTAAAATGTTCATAAAAATTAAGTATGTATTTCTTTTAATGACAACAATGTGATTGGTAGCAGTAATCCGTTTATATTTTCTATAGTCATATTATTAACTATATAATACAAAGAAAATATATTTATTAAAATTATTAAAACTATATGTGCCCAATTAACGCACATTATATTAATCTCTATATTTATAATTGATGAATAAGATAATGTTAATGCTATTTTATATTGCTTCATATATTTTAATACATGTTAATTATTTGTATTATCTTCCAATAAAACTGCTTTTCAGCACAATTAAATAATTGTATTTAAATCAAACTATTATTCCAGAATAAAAATTTTTTATTACAATTAGATATATTTAAACGAAATTATTTTATTATTGAATAAAAATTAATTTTGTTTAAATGATTACTTCCGAGAATCATACCAATAGCAAAATTCCACTTTAAATTAATCATCTTTTAAATAGAATCAACGCAATTAGTTTATATAACTTCAATGTTACATATTTGTTCATTAAATATTTATTAAGCATTGTATAAGATTTTAATTACTGTTTTAATTTACTAAATGAATACATATCATTGATTTATATAACTTAATGTGAAAAAATTAAATTAATTTTTTATCTTTATTTTATGGTTTACAGATGTTAATTTCTATTAATGAAATTAATATTGATATAAAAAATAATATTTCTATTTAATGATCACACTTTGTTTTTTACTATGATCAAGTAATCTCTATAGTTCTAATAACATTATTTATTTGTTACTTTGTTATTATTTATTATATAAAATGATAAAGATATTAATCATTAATATTATAATGAAAATATCTTTATTACAACTTTCTTAATTGTATTGTTAGTTTTGAAGCGAAGTGCTCGCCTGTTTCTTGTATTACTAAATTGATAAGAGGTGAAAGGGAGATCAGTTTGACAAAAATTTTATTTTCGTATTAGAGATATATAAATTTGATATTGGAGTGATGTTAGTAAACGTATAAGACTGTCTTAACAAAACTTCATTATTCACTTATCCATATATAGATAAAATAAAAATTTAAAGAATACAAAATCTGCACGATTTTCATGAAGAAAAGCATTAAAGATCGTCCTAGTGATAAAATGGATTGGACAGCAAAAATTAATAAGTTCGATGTCAAATTCGTAATTTTTATATTTTTATTAATTCACTGAACTTTTTTGCATAAATATACAAAGGTTATCGATCTTTAAAGGATTTATTAATTTTTTTTGACTCCTTTTATTTAATACTCTAGTAATAAACTATAACTAGTAATCAGATATGTTAGTTGGAATTTTTCACGACTTTTTAATTTCATCGTGATTTCTTCACTTATTAGACTAGAACGGATATAATATAACATTCACGAGGAATAATATCTTCTCATATTCGTTGCATTTCTTTACAGTATGCAGCTCGATATCGTATCACGACAGATTTATATTTGTCAATCATATTAAATAACGATATTGGAAAATCATATCAAGTATCTGTATACTTTAAATTGTAAAAGTCTAGAGGGTAGAGCAAAGACCTTGGATATAGAATTTCTAATTCATGATACCATAGATCTTTACTATTTATCGTCTATTTAAAAATTATCATCTAGTGAAAATCTTATTTTATCGAATTGTCATATATAAAATTCTAGGAATTTGTGATTAACTTTTAAATAATTTATTAAAAGAGGGACGTTTTAATTATGTATTCCTGCTGCACATGGAAGTAAATTGAGACACGGTGACAATATTTTTGCTGGCGAACTCTCGCTTTCATAACTATACGCTTCAAATGATTCGGGGTAGATACATTCTTTATTCGCCTATTATTACACATTCCTTTGGCATTGACTCGCTGTTATTACACGAGAATGTCCTCGAATTCTTCGCCGATATACTCTGATTTTTTACTTTAATCGTTTTTTTCTTCCAGTTTTTCTTCCTTCAGCGCAATAGCTAAATTGGCGCAAAAAAAACTCTATACTCATTAAGTCGCCAGACTTATAATAAAGTCCGCACAATGGATAGTCGGGAATATGTATTTCCCTTCTACGTGGGAATTTCAACTAGATCCTTGTTGAAAAATGAAATTTCATTGGTTCGTTGGTTCATGTTTAGCAAAATCTATCGAATACTTCGCGATGTACCAACAGCAGCTTTGTATTGATTGCAAGTAGTGAAGGTTAGTTGAACTCAGACGAGTTTCAGTAGTGCAACTATGAATACGGACGAGAAACGTAGCTTTGTGCACTTTTGTACAGCTCGATAGATATGCTATCATAGAACAAAAAAATAACATCAACTAACTGCACTGTTGTTTCGTGTAGAATAGAACAAAGATTTACGCTTCTACTTATTTAGCATTGCAAAATATATTTATTAATAGTATTAAATTTACACCATGTTTCTTTGTTTCAAAAGTCTTGTAAAATATAATACATAATATATACATGGATAATGAGCAAGAAGCAATAAACTAAAAAACAATAAATAATTTATTAGTTAAATAAAGAATTTTAATATATTATCAGAAACTGTAAATGGACAGTAACTTCGTTGATTCCAACTTCAAGTCCTCTCGCAGTCTAATAGTCTAGCAGGAATATCATGATAACCTCATCGACGTTGAAACTTAATTACTGAAACAGGGAATACCCAGTTGCATGCCACTATCATCGCTTTTATCACTGTCGCTGCTAATTACTATTAACAACAATTACTTATAATACATCGAGATCGTGTTATGAGGCTACTTTCAAGGTCGTCACGTTGCATCCGAAAATACATATATCTATGGTGTCTATAGTGTACACGTGTTTACCTAGCAATTACATTACATTCTGCAGTGTTTTAGGAAAATCTCGATAGCTAAAAATATAAGTGTACAAATTTCGAGTCTTAACTCTTTTCCAGAATGTTTAGTAAAAAAAAAAAAAAGAAAATGAAACGTACAAAAATCAAAATTGAGTATAATATTATGAAATTGACGTTTAACGTATGCGTCGAACGTGTATTGGAAAAGGTTTGCACGTATTAAACACGTTTGCACTTAAGAAGAATGAAGGAAAAAGGTAAACACCGGAAACCGGTCTGGAAATTACGATGACGTAATTGATTCTGACTTGCATTCTAAAAACCCACGAAGGATGGACTTTCTGTGCTTTCCTGCCGGTTCATGATAAATTTTCCCTGTAATCAATCTCTGAGTCACGTAGTACATTTGGTTTGCACGATATGCAAAGTTACCTGAAGAAGTTCAATTATGTGAGTCGACTTTCTTTCATTTTGAATCTTCCAACAAATTATACGTAAAAGAGAAAATATACGTCATTATGATATTTTTATTATAATTTTGTAATAAAATATCTTTTCTCAAGTATATAATAAAGTATTAAAACACGCGGAGAAGTTTGTTGTGCCCTGTATATATTAGATGAATACGATAATATATTGATAATACATACGATGATATATAATGTATACAATGATACAATCGTAAATTAAACGACTAAGCAAATTAACGTTGATTTTTATTAAGACTGAAATATATGTATCTACTTTTTTTTTCCATCATAGAAGCTGGTTATTCTGGAATTGAGAAGTCCATTAATGTAGCCGCACCCAGGATTACGTACGCTTTATAAAAGCATTTTAAATCCTGCATTGCAGAAGTTATTTCTAAATTGACATTCTCACAGTATCGAGTCTCTTTTACTCGGCTAGTAATTATTAAGAAATTAATCTGCAATTGTTAAAGTTATACTTGTATGGAAGAATGTCAAATTCACATTGACAGTCCAGAAAATCCCTCCGAAATGAAGATGTTTTTTGAGAGTTATTTCCTTTGATAAAGTTGAAAGGTATAAATTTTACTTCTTTAATAATTTCATTTACTGCCATATCACTTTCCACTTATTCCATTTTAGTACATTTTATTGTATTAAAAATCTCAATTGCATTGCAGAAAACGGTGATTTCCACCATGTTTTTTCCCAGGTTAAAATCATAAGGTAAATGTTATCGTGTCGATCGCGCAAGTTGCGGATAATGCTTTTCGCCAGTCGGGGCGCTACTTGTCACTTGAGACTGTACATCTCGCGATGCATGGTCCAGGCAAAGCTGGGTATTTCCCTCTCAAACGCTGCAGCGGGAGGATCTCGTTCGCTTGGAGGGAGGTATTCCCATGTCACTCTCACCGTGCACTCGCACTCTCCTGATATATACTGAACGCGGACGCGAGATTTTGCTCGTCAGTTGCGGAATCTTGGTCTTTGGGGATTGACTAGTGGTCTTAACACGGCTTAACAGTTCCTAGATAAAAGGGAAACGGGACAGAAAAATAGAAAAGCGATCGTCGGGGAAAAGAGAGAGAGAGAGAGAGAGAAACGGTGCGATCAGAACGGAACAGAGACAGAGGAAGAGTGATAGAGAAGGAAGAACCATAGGGAACATTCGCACTCTCCACGGTTCTGTCGGTTCAGTCACACTGCGTCATTCGACTGAGCGACTTCACGGTCGTTTCTCTTTCCTTTCAGACTCGTTGACCGCTCTCCTTTTTATTTTGTTACTTCTCTCCTCTCTCGTATCTCGAATCAGTACCTGTCTTCGTTCTTTTGTTTCCCTCCTCCGTTTTCGTTCGTATTCTCTTCGAAGAATAGAATCTCATCGCGATCGTTCTTTCACGAACAACGAAACGTTTTTATATAGTTTTCGAAAAGCAAAGGAAGGATAAGTGAAAGAAACAGAAACGTTTGAACATTTTTACCGACGTTTCACCTATATTGTACCGGTGCTCGACGAAAACTTCCGAGGGGTGCACGTTGATCGACAGATTCAATCTGACTGCGAGTAAGTTTCATCGTTTGACGCTCGAATCTGATTCGCCGAGACTTGCCGAACTATATGTACGTACGTACACACAGTACATAAATGCACGCGTATCGTTCGTGAATTCACGTAGTAAGGGTAGCAATTTGCTTCAAGACACTCATATGTGTTCAACTATTTTCTCTTATGTTGTATTTTTTATATAAGACATAAGATATTCTCTGTCGTCAATTTCAAGCTTCTCAACCTTTCGTCCCCGAAATCTTAAAGATGCCAAGTGTCGCCATCAAGACACAAGACAAGTCAAAGCCAAGAGGTTTAACAAATTTTCGAATATGAAATATACTATGTTCCGGTAATGATACGAGTCTTTACAGCATTGGAAAGTTTCAAACTGTTTCGAAATTCAGATTCAAACTGTCTGAAGCAAGGTAGAAGCATCAGGAGCAAACTGGCAATGGCCATCAACGTGACTCTATAATTCGTAAAGAAAAAAAAAAAAGATCCTCTTGTCAAACGACACGATCGATCAGTACTTTCTCGCCGGGTAAATTTTTCCTGTCATAGAAAGCGGTAATACTAATTCGTCGTCACACTTGAATTACCCATATAATAAGATATCTCAAAGGCAAGGTTCGGCAATGCTTCGCTAACTGGCCACGTATCGTAGCTTGTTCGTACTTTATTAATTATCGAGATATATAATACATTATAATATATACCTAACACGTTTATTTAATTTACTTTGTACGCATAATATCAGACCCACCACGAAACTAGTTTCAAGAACTATTTTAGGGATAACGGAGCGTACAATATTAACTATTAACGCTCCAAAATTTAAAAAAAAAAAGATGCTACAGATTCCTTTTCTCAATCACGATTCGACGAACATAAACCGCTATTGTCCGGTTGTATATATGTGTTAGTAGACGACACTGTGATACAATTATTGTTTTAAACTCGGTAGTCAGTTCAGCGTCAGTCACTTCGATTCTCTCTCTTGTTTCTCATTTGCCGTGTGCCGTATTCATTTAACAAAACACTTTGGATATCAATTTTGATAGAGCGTCTGTGTCGTTCGATCGACCGATCGTCCCTCGAACTTAGAAAAGAGGCTGCGTCGCGATTGCTGCTGCGGTGAGGAACGCGCAGTCATGAACGGGATTTCCAGCCAGTGCGCGAAAATCCAGGACCTGAACGTGTACGACAACGAGGAGGATCGCAAGATGATGATAAAAAAGCCTGGACCGCTGAGGACTGTTTCCTGGTCGGAAAGCGTCGAGGAGTGCAATTTAGACGTGCCGGGGACGCCCAGGACTCCGCGTACCTCCACCACGCCAGGTATTGTTTCCACGAATGATTAACAATCGTCCGATTAGGCATTTTACCACGTTCGCGTCACGAGGCATTTCTTAGATTAATAACAGATAACGAGCTGGTGTGATACTCACGAACGAGTATATCATTTATCTTTCACCCGAATCACCAAAGTGTTTCGTTTGAATTCCCGAGCTTGAATAACGTAATAATACGTTATTAAGTAGAAATCCATTAGCTGAAAGGCAATTCATGTTCGTGCATTTTGCATTAATAAATGGAATGGAATAATTCTATATTAATTGGTCTAAGTATGGTAATATCGATCGATTTCCTTGAAAAATAATATGATTTATAGTTGACCAAGTAAGGAATACGCGATAGACTTTTCTTTCACTACATTATTATTGTGTGGGACAGAGTTCTCTTAAATCCATTAAACTTTTCCTTAATGAATGATCGTCGTTAACTCCGTGTGCAAATTCAAAGGAGAATTACTTCCATTTTCTTAAGGCTGCAGTATTTTTCCCCATTAATTCCATTCCATGCCTAATCGATTGGATAAACGTAAGAAGTTCTACTAAATCGCAGTCTGTTGCAGTTTCTGTAAAAAAAAAAAAGAAAAAAAAAAGAGAAAAAGAGGAAAAAAGACGTCACGGTATAATTCACGTGCCAAGGATCATGACGAGACATTCGTTATTCGTAACGAGACTCGTTTACTGTTTTTTTTTTTTTTTTTTTT